GGGTTTTTTAGGGTATGGACATGAAATATGATGAAAGAAACAGATGTCAAATGTGAAAGAATTTTAGTATAAAGGACTTGCAAAATGATATAGTGTTGGAACTTATGACTTACTTCACCATCATGTAATTTGTCTCGTTGGTGGGTTGGTATTCAATTGATTCGAGTGCGTGATCATGCCCGTTCACCTAAATTCTTCTATTAACAAAATAGTCAATTTCAACCACATTTTCTATGTCTACAAAATTCTTATCATGGTTTCATTAAACAAATAAAAATTGTACCATTGGTTGCAATAGTAGATCCAAAAATTTTTGTTAGGGTGGGCCAAAATAAAAATTAATTATAGATTAATATTTTTGTCTATTAATATTTTTGTTAGGGTGGACTAAATTATACATATTAATATTTAAAAAAGAAAACTTGAGGGTGAGCCAAAAAGAGACTGGATCCGCCCCTGATCGATTGGGTAAGAGGTTCAGTGGCTAGACTACTCCTATTAGCAGCCGAGGAGGGACTCCAACTCAGAACCTTTTGAATAGTACATCCTATCAAACCACTCGATTATTCAAAAGTAATTAATTTTTGGTTGTATTATATGACTTTAATTTTTTACTTCAAGCTTTTGCATTGTTTATTTCTCTTAATGCATGATTGTTTTGTAGCTTATAATTATGATCATGGTAGGAATACCAACTAAAAATATTTATATAAAAAAAAAAAAAACATATATATAAACACGTATTTATTATGCTTGACCGTTGGAAAAGATGATCCATCCAGCATTAATACACAAAAAAAATAAAAATAAAAAATGTTAAAAATAAATAAATCAAATCCTTGAAATCACTTTTTCGTGTCATATCAGCATTTGGCTGGAACCCTAACGGCAAATGAGCCATTTTATAATAAATTAAAAACTATATATTAATAATTAGTTTTCTCTCCCTCTCTTTCAGACAGTCTCAACAAACTTTCAACGATAATATGGGCTGGGTGAATTTAATTGCACGTGTGAAGCCCAATACATTAAACAAGCCCAGTAGTCGAATCATTGCAGCCCAAAGTGGCATAAATGGTAGGCTATTTTCCATCTGTGATTGTGATACTGAGTCAACTATACTTTTTTCTCAGCATTATTTATTGGATCTTGGCGTCACAATCCAACCACCAGTATCTAGAATTTCTGCAGTTCTTTTAAGTCAAACGTCTTGAATGGTTCGGTTAAAGAATTCCGGAGATGTACAGTTATTATTTCTTTTAAATCACTCTTTTCAGTATGATAAATACTATCAGATGATACTGCATCGAATTTATGCACCGAATAACATAGTAAAATCCTGATCGTTGATTAATATTAAGTTAAAATTAATTAACGATCAGGATTTTGTCAAGTCATTCGGTGCATAAATTCGATGCACTACCGTCGGTGGTTATATTATTTTTCTTTTAGTATTATTTTATACTACGTTTACAACTCCATCTCACAATTCTGACGTGATAACTCGTAATTGGTTAACTTACAAATGTGTCCCATATACTCGTCATGGGTCTCTTATGCTTGTTTGTGAATTGACCAACGAGTTACTATGTCGGATTATGAAAGAAAATTTATAAAATTTAGTTGTGAGTCAATCTTTATCCTTATTTTATTTATCATTTGTGAGATAGTTTATTATGAAATCGTATATGCTATTATTGAAAAATGTTATATATATTTTTTAAATTAATCAAAAACTCTCTTAAAAAATATTAAAAATTCTTCTTATGAAACTATCAAATACATCCTGATAAGGGTTTATAATTCTTTTCAATAACAATGAATATTTTCATATTAAACGTTCTTATAAACCACTATTTTCACAGAAAAGCATAAATTAAATGATCCTAAATATATATGTATGTATATATATTATGGATTAATTTAAAATGCATAATATAATACAAAGCGAATTATTATACATACATATATATTTAGGATCATTTAATTTATGCTTTTCTGTGAAAATATGGTTTATAAGAACGTTTAATATGCATAATATAAAAAAAATCTGGCAAGAATGATGGTGATGGAATAGATGGACAAAAGCTATCATTTTCATGCTTTAACTTTCTGAAATCACAACATGGTAGGGCCTTAGTTATGGTTGTATTTTTGCATGCTAGTTGCTGAGGGTAACCCTCAATTTGTGCCACTTCTCAAGGCCCCCAGCCTCTGCATTGAACCTTCGTTTCCTTTGTACTTGTTAGATGATGGAAACATTAATGGAAACAATAATTATAAACGAAAAATTGTTATTTCAAATACTTGAGGAGAAAATTTGTAAATTCATTATAGTCAAGAGAAGAATAGTAATGGACACTATATATTATTAAATAGAAGATTAATTTATAAAGCTATGCTTGAATAAAAATATAATAAATATAGAATTGATGAATTTTATAAACTTTCTCTCACAAATTCAATATGACAGTTAATAATTAGTTTCTGATAAATTTTTTTGTCTGAATCGATTATCTAAAACCAATTATCAACTGTCACGTTGGGTTTATGAGATAAAATTTATGAGATTAGTTCAATCAGTGTAATATTACTCATAAAAATATTATTAATAATATTTTCTTCGTTACCGTTAAACCTTTATTTTGAAAGAAAAAAAAAGTGAGGTTAAAAAATCATGACTCTTTATCTTACTTTAATGTGGGCCTTGTTGATGGGCCAGCATGTCACTCTAAAGAAATAGAGAGTCATTTGTGAAATGTGAACTGGACTCAACTATTAATGTGGACCAGTCTGGCTAAGTATTGTTTAATCACCGTCAAAATAGTGAAACAGCTCTGATGAAGACAAAAAGGGAACAACAATGGTGATATTTGAAATATTTAAACATTTCCCAAAATAAGTATGGTTGGTACTGTACGTCTTTAAGATATCAAATCTGCTACTGAGTTTCACGTGATCCGCTTTAACATAACTTATTAATATTTATATGTTATTAATCCCACTTTTATATGAAGTCGTTGAATCGTTTTAAATGGTAATATTTACTAAATTATTTTAAATAAAAAATATAATGTTATTAATCCTTCTCAAGCAATTACTAATATTAATAATTATTTTATATGTATTATTATTTAATTTTTTTTAATGATTAGGAGTGTTTAAACCCGTTTATACCCTCTTCAACTAATCATTCTTTGAGATTCTAAAACTATCAATTCAGTAAAAATTGTAATAGTACCCTTATTAGCATATAAGATAAGACTCAAATTCATGACCTCTTTAATAATACATTTAAGAGTTTTTATCGAATTATTTGACTTTAATTATTTTTCTTTATTTCTAAGATCTTATCCATTCCCATTTTTCTAGTTTTAATAATATTATTCCTTTCCATATTTACCTAAAAGTTCTTAATTGTACCAACTCTTATCTTATCTATTGGCATATCTTATCATCAAGAAATTAAAATATAAAATAATAACTAACTTTTCAAAAGTAAAAAAATACTATCTCTTTTAAGCCAAAAAGGTGAGGTTTGGTATTTACCATATTCAAATTTCTTAATTAGTAGTACATGCTAATTAATAAATTATTAATTAATACCATAATATTAATGAATGAATATTATTGGGAAAATATCAATAATAATAATAATAATAATATATATTTAATTTAAATAAACATTTAGTGTACAGCTAAGACACTCCAGTACAGTGCTCATAAGTCATAACAACTAAATTATAGGTAGTTTCACTTTATAAACTCAGTTTGAGAATTTGATCATTTTTAATTTTTTTATATTCACATGTTAAACTAATACATAAATAAATTATTTTAAAAATCTCATCTCTTTGCCTGATTGGGTTCATCATAATTTTTAATCTAGGTTCCGTTTTGTGCTTTTTACTCATTCTTCACAGTTGAAAGCGGCCAAACGACTTGCGCATACGAAAGTTTACCAAAAGGTACCCAAAAGATTTTGAAATGACAAACAGATACCTTCCGTCATGTATTGTTAGTAATTTTTGTTTGTTCATAGTGAAAAGACTAAAATGCCCTTAAAAGTTTGATATTTTAGTTTTTTATAAATTTTTAAAAAACCCCATAAGTTTGCTAATTTAACTAAACACCCCATATATAAAAAGTTTGTTAAATAACAAAAATACCTCCACACCTGCAGTGCCAGATTCCGGCCACCACTGACGGAATCTGGCCGAAAATTGCGTTACGACACAGACCTTGTCGGATCTGTGTCGTAACACGTCGATCTAGCCTTTTTAGACCAGATCTGGCCGTCGAGGCCGCAAAACTCCATCTGCTACCTCGACGGCCAGATCAGTGGCGGATCTGGCCGGAAAAGGCCAGATCGACACGTTACGTAACGCAATTTTTTTGCCAGATTCAGGCGGTGGTGATCGGAATTTGGCATTGCGGGTGTAGGGGTATTTTTGTTATTTAACAAACTTTTTATGTATGGGGTGTTAGTTAAATTAGCAAACTTAGGAGGTTTTTTAAAAATTTTTAAATTTATAAAAAACTAAACTATCAAACTTTTAAGGGTATTTTAGTTTTTTTACTATGAACAAATAAAAATTACTAACAGTACATGATGGAAAGTACCTCTTTGTCGTTTCAAAACCTTTTAGGTATCAACTTGTTGTTTTGACAAACCTTGGGTATGCGTAACTGCGTAAGTCGTTCGGCCGCTGAAAAGCTTGAAACTCCCATGTGCGTCAGGTACCTGCTCGGTCAAATGCCTGAACAGAATATAAATTAGATTCAAAGGAATTTTATAAAATTAATAATTCACAAGGAACACAGAAACGATTTGAATTCCTCCAATGGATTCAAGCGTTTCACAACTCATGACAACTAATCACTATCATTGGGATTGTGACTTGAATGTCAACTCGATTCTTTCTACACTATGAATGCTACATTATATATTCAGATATTTTCTTGCCGTTGAAGATCTGTTTGGTTCAATTCTTTCAATATCCTGATACTTTTTGGGATCTGGAGTTCTGGGGCTTTGTTGTTTTCTCTCTCTCTCTCTTTTTTATTTTGGTATCAGTTGGTTTCAGTTTCTGGTCTCAGAACTGTGTATAAATTCCTTGTAATCCCTGAAACTGTATCGGGTTCTGTTTAGTTTGTGTTTGTCTTTTCAACATTCATGTTTTTAAGGATTTTGTAGATAATATTAGTCTTTGGAATCTGGAAACAGTTTAAGATTTGTGTTTCTGGGTTTTGCTCTTTTTTAACTTAATGGGGCATTCACTAGTCTTTGCTATTTGCTTTTCGTCTCTTTTATTTAGTCCTTGTCTATGTTCTTATTTGGGTGATCAAAAGAAAGACAAAATCAATGGGTTACCTCGTCAACCAGGAAATGTTGATTTTAATCAGTACTCAGGTTATATAACTGTAAACCAACAAGCTGGGAGGGCTTTGTTTTATTGGTTGATAGAGTCACCGGCTAGTCGTGGAGCTCAGTCAAGACCACTTGTTTTGTGGCTCAATGGAGGTCCCGGTTGCTCCTCTGTTGCGTACGGAGCATCCGAAGAGATTGGACCTTTTCACATTAGGCCAGATGGGAAGACGCTTTACTTGAATCGTTATGCTTGGAACAAGTGTATGTGAATGTCTACCTAGCACATTGTCTTGATTTAGTTGCATAGACATCGTTGTTGTTTATTATTGTAGTGTGTTTCTGAATATAAATGAGGCGCATTCTTTTCTTGGTTGCAAATTATTGTTTTTGTATGCCAGTCTGATTCTGTTAAAATTTTTGAGCAGTGGCAAACTTGCTGTTCCTTGAATCTCCAGCTGGTGTTGGTTTTTCGTATACAAATACTAGTTCAGATTTGTACACTGCTGGTGATCAGAGAACAGGTAATTCGTAGGTGATGTGGTTATAGTTCTATTGACAGTGTGTTTTTATTATGAAATTTGTGGTTTTAGTTTAGAATTAATTGATTTTGACATCTTTAGATGCTTTTGGGATCTGGTTGTTGTAAACTTGTAGCTGAAGATGCATATGCCTTTCTTGTTAATTGGTTTGAACGGTTCCCACAGTACAAGCACAGAGATTTCTACATTGCTGGGGAAAGTTATGCAGGTCTGAACTTGAAATATTCTGTTTTCATAATATATATATGTATATGTTTTACATGAATGATGTAGTAATGGATGAAGAAGCTTTTAATTTTTTTTTTTCAGGTCATTATGTGCCTCAGTTGTCTCAAATTGTTTACCAAAAGAACAAGGGAATTGCCAACCCAGAAATTAATTTTAAAGGATTTATAGTATGAACATAAAATTCTTATTTATGTAAATCTAGAACAATCTGCTTTTATTTGTGATGCTTGATGGCAGTTAATCATCATCAAATGAGTAATTCTCTTTGTTTTCTATTAGGTTGGAAATGCCGTTACTGATGATTACCATGATTATGTTGGCACTTTCGAGTACTGGTGGACTCATGGTCTGATATCTGATTCCACCTATCGGAGCCTAAGAGCTGCTTGTGAGTCTGGGTCCTCTGAGCATCCATCCATGGAGTGCATTAAGGCCTTGAAAGATGCAGAGAGGGAGCAGGGAAACATTGATCCTTATAGCATTTTCACGCAGCCTTGCAATAACACTGGCTCACTAAGGCACGGCTTAAGGGGTCACTATGTAAGCTCTCATCATTTTGTCCTATTACTATCAGCATAATTATGCGGTTTTGTATAACTCTGAAGTGTCAAATGAACAGCATGACAGTCTTTCTGTTTCCCATCACTCTTTCCTTATCCTAGGAGAATTTGTTTCATGATGTTTAATATGCTAGTAGCAAGAGTTCTGATGATAGCTTGCTTACAAGTTGGATGATCATCTCCCTGATGAAATAGAAATGTTAAGAGTAAAAGATACATAAGTTATAATTCGTTAGACTTACTGAGAGATTTAGGATTTGATTTGATTGCATGTAAAGTAGGGTACACGACCTAGACGCACTAGCTAGATATAATATGGAATTTGTTTCAATGTAAAAAAAAAAACAAGAGAGAAAAAAGCTTACCCAAGTGAGAAGATACACTGTCTGGTTTCATGGGTGGGCCTTGGCAATAAATATGGGTCACTGGGGTACTTGGAGGTGGTTGTTGAATATTTAGCTTAAAGCTGTAAAGGGCCCCCAATCCCAAGTTGTATTCTTTGCTCAATAATGTTGGAAACTTAGAAGCGTCAGTGTGGTCTACTTCTATCACCTAACCCTGTAATTGTTAGCTTTCATTCCTTGGTCACCTTTCTTCCCTTGGCATGATTGTGGCATGGCAAAAGTTTTTGTAGGACTGTATCATCAACTGATGCACACCATGTTTTCTGCTGTTAATGTTTGTGTACTCAATAAAAGAAAAAGAAAAAGAGAGGCGAAGGTGTCCACATATTTATGGGCATGGAGATCTTGTAAGGGTGACTAGTCAAGGGTAAATTATTTTAACCACATATTTTGAGTTGTGGTGGTTGGAAAAGTTGCGGCTGCTTGATTTATTAGCTTTCCTTAGAAATTTCTGGAGACTTCAATAACTTTTTGTACCTAATCCCTATACATAACTTCTGTTTCAACACTGTTAAATTTCCTGATATAATTTCTTAAGAAAAACGTGCACTTCTAACTTTCATGACTTGTTTCCCACTCAAATTTGTTTTTGGTTTTTACATTGTCTGCACCTGTTGTTGCAAGTTTTTTTTTTATTTATTTAATTAAATATATTTCTATCATGTCAACTAAAGTATGGATAAACTTGCAACAGCAGGTGCAGACAATGTAACAGTTCCAACTAATTGTGAATTTGCTGGATAACTGCTATATTGAATATTACATGAATTTCTCAAGTTGAATGTTGTCACCACTGGAACAGGTGGATTATAATTGCTTATTGATTATGTTTTAATTTGTCAATATGAAGTCTTCTTTGGGTTTGAACATGTTTTTGTTTGATCTTCTCCTTTAAAATATGTTCAATGGGTCTGTATTCTCAAGTTCACTCTGTTACTCTCAAACGCAGCCATGGATGTCCAGAGCTTATGATCCCTGCACTGAGAGATATTCTCAACTCTATTTTAATCTCCCTGAAGTTCAGAAGGCAATGCATGCAAATGTAACTCGAATTTCTTATCCATGGAGAACATGCAGGTATCTTTATAGGTTAAGACTTTTGAAATTATGTCTAACATGTCTTTTAACAGCTTAGTTGAAAAAATTTCTTTCAGTGATATTGTAGGAAACTACTGGGCTGATTCTCCACTCTCTATGCTTCCCATATATAAAGAACTCATTGCTGCTGGTATCAAAATATGGGTATACAGGTAATTTACCCCATCTTCTGTTTGTTACCATCGAACTTTAGTTTTCCTTATAGTTGGGGAAATTTGTTCAGTTAATAGTGAATTTGGTTCAGTTATTTTAGCAGTCAGCAAGCGTGAAGCTTTCTTGGTATTTTTGGTGGGATAGGTAGCAATATTTTCTGTGCATAATTAACATGTTAAAGATTTTGTTGCTTGTGACTAAACATTCTAAGGACTTTTTATGTTTTTTGCTCCTTTTATGTGTTTTCTGTTTTTTGCATTTTTGCTTTCAAAATTGATATATGGTGGTACAATCACTAAATTTATCCTGCCGTGATGTGAGTTTTCGGAGCGTGCTGTTAATTAAGGAAACCCTGTTCAAATTTCAAAATGCCGTAAATATATTTCACATTTGAAAATTTTTACCCCTCCCTGACTTGGCCATCTTTGACTTGGTTTTGTGTTTCACTCTGATATGGATCTTATTGAATATTTGTTCCAGTGGCGATACCGATGCAGTTGTTCCTGTGACAGCCACTCGATACTCCATTGATGCCCTAAGGCTACCAACTTTAATCAACTGGTACCCGTGGTATGACAATGGAAAGGTAAGTTTCATAGAAAATCTTTCCTATATAATTGAGATCAAGGGGACATTATGAATTATTTTTATGTTTGTTGTACACGTGTGTCTACTCTATTGCTTTTTCCAATTATTTCACCTTTTCTCTTTGTTAGCACAATACAATGTTTTGATTTTCACGTTAACAGCCTCGGAACTATACTGAAATAATCATCTCCAATAGTAATAGCAGCTTTATTCTTCATGTTGTGCTAACAAAAAACAGCAGAAAATGTTCAACATTTTTATCGTTATAACTCTTAAAACATGACAGTTTCTATTTGTTTTCTATCATGAAATGCAGTGATTGTTATTTCTGTTAATCTTTTTGTAGATCACTCCATGAATACACTCATCTCACTCTGTTTCTCTTCTGTAATTTAGGTTGGCGGATGGAGCCAAGTATACAAAGGGCTGACACTTGTAACAGTGAAAGGCGCAGGACATGAGGTTCCCCTCCATCGTCCTCGACAGGCTTTTATTATTTTCCGATCATTTTTGGAGAACAAGCCGATGCCAGGATAAACATGTTTAGTCCCATTGACTGTCTACAATGAAAAAGTGAAAGTAGATCATAGATTTGTTCATGTATATAGGAAGTGGTAAAAGCATTCCTCTCGAGTGCCTCTCCATTCTTGCCTCAACCGGGCATCATTTCTCAACTATCTATTTTTAATAAGGATTTTTATTCTTTATAGGGTTTCAATCAATAATTGAAATTTGTTTGATTGTAGAATATTATGAAATCATCGCTAGATTATTTCAGATGTAATTTTGTTGTAATCTTATGGCTTGATGGTAAATTCACTTCATTTTTTGGACCCTTACCATAGCTTAACTGCCCAAAAGGCCCTTTACATTATCATTAAACATATTATACTTTAATTAACCGCTTACCAACTTGGAACGTTGTCATTAAATATAAGCGTAAATGAGTACAGAAGGTCTTTGGAGCTCACTTTTTGTAGGATTATTTCACTGTGGTTTGTTAGCCCAACTTGTTTGTTAAAGAGTCCTTACCTGAAGATGACTTTTATACTGAAATTAGGTGGGGCTATAACAAATAATAATAAGGAAAAAAAAATATTTATACTTCTTTTTTCAAGAAATAAACCTAAATAATTAGGTGTGTACAAGAAATTACGATAGAATCGGAATCTGCGGGTACTCGGGGTTTAGGGTTCTGATTCCTACCTGAAACTGGCTCATACAGGGTGTGCAAGGGGTTTTGGTCTGTTTGAATTTCCCCTTGATTTTGGTTCTAGGTATTTAGGAATCAGAATTAGAATCAATCAGTTTTGGTTTTGATTTCATGCGATTTGGGTCGGTATTGGGACCCGCCCACCCCTATAATTAATCATCAACTTATGATTATAAAATTACATTTGACAAGTATATATACTTCAAAATTGTACTTTCATCTTCACTTAAATTAAGGATGAAGCTAAATAATTAATACATCAAACCAAAAACATTTGAATTTTTTACTCATCCCAGATTTATTTATTATGATTATTTTTTGTTTAAGTTATATATGTTGATTTATAATATACTTTAATATTAGAATATTTTTATAAATTATAAAGGTATGAATAGTATGAACCCGAGAAGCCGGGTCTCTGATGGGGCACATGGCTGCATAAATCGTCCGATCCAAGAAACTACCTGGCTCTCGGGGCTTTCAAAATTCATTAATATTTTCATGAATAAAAAAATTTGCTTATCATATATGCATTTAACACCTAGATCAATCAAATTTTTGAGGACGGTGTACGTTAAGGTCACATGGCCCACATGGATGTCGCTTGGCGCTTGCACTCTATCGGTGCCATTAAAAAAGTCTGTGGTCTGTGGTCAAACCAACATGCGGCTGTAGATCTTGCTATACTTCAGTTCTAATTCAATCTTCCATTACACCCACATTATTTTAGTTTTATAGTTTTAATTTGTAGTGTGCCATTGCGCAAAACCATGGTCGATTATTTCAACATTTATTTATTTTTTTTAAACAATTATGTTTATTATTTTTCTTATTATATATATAAAATTAACCCCACAAAATCTACAAAGAAAAAGGAACTCTAGATTATGTGGGTACAATTTTATTGGATTTTTTAGTTGTGATCTTTATTATTTTATTATTATTATTTTTAAAATTTATAGATTGAGTCCATCAACTATCACCAACCAAAAACTAATCATTATAACAATTTACTATATTTATAAAAAAATAAAAAAAATAATGTGTAACATATATTCAACAAGAAAAATAAAAATTGATACAACAAAAAATGATTCTAGAAAATTAAACTTACTATAAAGAAATCCCATGTTTATAACAAAATAATTTAACCCCAAAAATTCATGTAGACAACAAACATTTAACTTGATTCAAGTCAACTTTAACGTGCTGAAATCCAATTAAATAACTCAAACCAACAACTTACAAGAACAAGATAGTCCAATTTCCCACTCTCATTTCAACGCAAAACTTCACATTTTGCTCAACATGGGCAAAGCCGAAGGCAAGAAATGTGAAACTTTCTTTACCTCTTTCTCTCTGCTCTACGTTTTGGTTTTATCACTTTTTTTAATTTCTCCATCTTCTTCTTCATCTTTGAATCAACAACAAGAGAGGGATAGAATCCTCAACCTCCCTGGCCAGCCATCCAATGTCAACTTCTCTCAATTCTCTGGCTACATTACCGTGGACCAACAAGCGGGCCGGGCTCTTTTCTACTGGTTGATCGAGGCCCCGTCGAGTAGTCTACCTGGGTCGAAACCTCTCGTTTTGTGGCTCAATGGTGGGCCTGGTTGCTCGTCCGTTGCCTACGGGGCCTCTGAAGAAATTGGACCGTTTCGGGTAAAATCCGATGGGAAAACACTCTACTTTAATCCATACGCTTGGAATAAAGGTAACCCTTTTATGATAATGTAAAAACATCAGTGATAGTTTAGTTTGTTGTTGAGAATGTTGATATATTTTACTCGTTGCAGAAACAAATTTGCTCTTCCTTGATTCGCCGGCGGGCGTCGGATTTTCTTATACGAATACTTCCTCCGATATATACACAGTTGGTGACAATAGGACAGGTCGTTTTCTTCATTTTCATGAATTTGGTTTTTGGCACAAAATCATATGCAAAAAACAAATAAAAATTGAAACTTTTGGTTGTAATTTTCAAAAGTTAGTTAGCCTACAATTTAACTAATTCTTCACTGTTGCGTGTTTGAAAAATGCAGCCAATGATGCCTATATTTTTCTGGTCAACTGGTTGGAGAGATTCCCTCAATACAAACAGAGGCCTTTTTATATTGCTGGAGAAAGCTATGCAGGTTCATGACTTTGACCTTCTTGACCAACCTTATTTAACTATTGAATTAATATTTTTAAGATCAATACTTAAATAACAGGTGTTTATATATTAAAAAATGCCTTTTTTTTGTCTATATGAACACATAAATGTTTAATACATGACAATGGTTGGATAAAGCTTTTGGAAACAAATTGTTGTTCAAAAGTTGTTGGTTGTTTAACTGTCAACTGTAAAAACGATACCTAGAATAACTTTTTTTTTTTTTTTTGGTGGGTGATGGGTAATAATTTAAAAAAAATAAAATAAAAATAAAAGAATACTAATCTTTTTATACACATGGACATTCAGGTCATTATATTCCTGAACTATCTCAACTTATTGTTCGTCGAAATAAAGGCGTCAATAATGCCAAACTTAACTTCAAAGGTTTATTGGTAAGCTTATTGATTCTATAACATTTTTGAGTCGATATTTTACGATAAAATTTATTTTATTTATTGGTAAAATTTTGGAGCAGTTGGGAAATCCATTGATAGATGACCATTACGATAATATTGGGACACATGAGTTTTGGTGGAACCATGGATTGATATCGGATTCAACATATAAAGATTTGCAGAAGTATTGCCCAAATCAAACGTTTTTGTTCCCGCAAGATGATTGTTATACTGCTCTCTCTGTTGCTTATTTTGAGTTCGGAGACATCAATCCTTACAGCATTTACACTTCTCCTTGCTATGCAACCGGCACTCTCAAGAACAATCTTAAGCTTCCTCTGGTTAGCTCTTTATCGATACTTTCATTTCTAATTAACCGTGCGTCCTGTTCGTTTTTTGTTTTTCATTTCTTTTTTTATCGTAAAATGTGTTATAAATGTCGGTAAACTTTGTATTTTTCATTCTTTTTGTTCTGTTTTCAGATAATTATATCAAACACGTTTTCATTTTCAATATTTTTGAAAAACAGAAAACAAATTCACAAAATTCATAAAAGAGTACGTACATCTTTTCAATGGTTAACTTTGCACAACATATTTCTTGAAATTCAGCCGTGGACATTCAGAGGAGCCGATGAGTGCATCATTAAGTACACAAAAGTTTACATGAATCGCTCGGACGTGCAAAAGGCTTTTCATGCCAATGTCGCTAAGATTTCTAATCCTTGGGCGACTTGCAGGTTTGAATATAAACATAATTTATGTAGCATTTAATATTCTTCCCATGCAAAATAAGTTAAACAGATAAGTGACAGAACAGAGTCCATCCCCATGCATGATACTCAACAGTCAGATATTGAAGGAGATATTGAAGGACAAGTCTGCTGTAACAATAATAGTTTGAAATGCTTATCTGATAAGTCTGTTACGCAGATCTCTATGTAATCTTTCTGTTTGTTATTTTGAACTTCTCTCTATCATGTAACTACTATAAATATTAATGACATTCTTATATCTGGTGTACTGTTGAAACCAGATCAATTCAGCTTAATTTGGCTTTCCAATTTGCAGTTCTGCCATCAGGGGCAACTGGACTGATTCTCCAAAATCCATGCTTCCTATCTTCAAAGAACTTATTGCAGCTGGCATTAGGATCTGGTTGTACAGGTACTCCTATTCTTTAATTTCAATTTTCTCACGTGTTTAATTTCATTTTAGTAGTAACGCGATGAGGAAAACTGTTTTGTACCAACAAGGCTTTTCACTAATGTCAGCAATGGCTTGTTTTTGAATTCTAAACAGTGGTGACACAGATGCCATTTTGCCTCTATCTGCTACCAGACATTCCATCGCTGCTCTCAATCTTGAAACCGATATCGAATGGTACGCTTGGTACGACGATCAATTTCAGGTAAAAGTTTAATTTATAATTTGAAAATAATAATTCAAAAAAAAAAAAAACCAATATTATATTAGTTTGCATAATACTATACATACAATATTTTTACACAATATTTTTCATACAATATGATATGACAAAAGATGATTAACTGATTTTAAATTAAAAATAAACTTTCACTTAATTATCTTTTGCAATATCATATTGTACGAGAAATGTTGTATGTGTTGTATTGTTCTATTAGTTTTGATTTATACAGATTTTTGTCTAATCAATTAAGGTTGGTGGTTGGAGCCAAGTGTACAAGGGTTTGATCTATGCGACAGTTCGGGGTGCAGGGCATGAGGTTCCATTGAGTAAACCTAAATTGGCTCTAATATTGTTAAAGAATTTTTTGAACAACAGTACTTTGCCAAGAATATCAGATTTTTCATAGAATTTGTTGGTTTAAATTTAATATATACCCATAGCAGTAGGAGATTAAATTATTATTGTATTAATTGTAATGAATTTACATAATTTTCTTAGTTAATTGTAGTCTTATAATTATATTGTAACAAATAAAAATTGATCATCAATTCTATATGATTTCTGTTTTATTTTCTCCTCCTTGTTTGTATTTTGTATAGCATAAAGAATAAGAGTCATTTACAAAACAGAGGGTAATTAGCTTTGTGTGTATATCAAGTTTATCAACTTTGGTTTTAGTTTCACAACAAAAATATATAATTTTTTATTAAACAATTCAATTTCTCTTTCCTCTTTTATAAAATAAAAATTATCGAACCAAGATTTTTATCACAAAATTATAAATATAAACCGACTATGAATGTGTTGGGATATTGTGGTTCTCTTTTTCTAGTTGTTTCCATATAAAATTGTATGTCTTTAAAAAAACTATTTAATAAAAAAAATTGTAAATAGGGATAAAATTTAAGAGTCCTATTAGGAATTGAAATATTAATCCTATTAAAAATAAACTATCTTTGTACTACCCAGGAATGTAGTAAAAAATGAAATGTAAGGAGATCAAAGTTGGAAGAACAATACAATTTTAAATTAAAATAAGCACAAGTTTTATATTTATAAAATTCTCATTAACTAATACATTTATAATTATCCTCGACAGAATTTCATAAAGTATTGTGTAATAACTTCATTCTAGAGAAAGGCTGAGTGAAGTACTTCTAGGGACTTCTCTTCTCTTCTTGCTTATCATCGACTTTCCAGGCGTAGTCTGTAGTAGGGAGGGCCGTTCTCACACGAGTTGGAGTTGTAACATGACAAACCATTAGAATGCATTCTCGTAGGAAGTAGCATACTCATGTTGCCTGCTTTCGTTGCTTTCGTCTCGAAGGCTGGTTTAATAATAGTTCAAATCCTTCTAACTGGCTATCGCATTAAGGTGGCATGTCTTACTCCAGGCCAGCAGTGAACTAAATTAAGGTGGCATGTCTTACCCCAGGCCAAAGTGAACTAAGTGTTAAAGTAGAGAAAGCCAACTTTCCGTACTCAGCCGGCCAAGCAATTTATTAATACTATTAAGTACATTTTTTCTATATAAAAAATTAACACAAGTAAGTTATTATTCAACTATTGATCACTCAATTTATTTCACAAATGATTCTTTACAAAATTTATTATTGAAAATGCTATTTTTACACTAAAACAAAAATGATAAGAAAAATTGTATGATTAATAATAAGATATATAATAAGAAAGAATTAAAAAAAAAAAAGTGATAGAATAAGCAAAGTCTGTACAAAGAAATAGAATCATAAAATTGGCCCTCCGAAATGTGGAAAGAATTTGGGAGTGGTAATTGTGTTAATAAAAACATAAAATTCACATTGAGCAAGAGAGTGTGGGGTTGGAATTTATATGTCAATTCAATGGTTCATTAATGTTGTCATCTTCATTTTACGTAATCCTACAAATAAATAAACACAACATCAAATCAAAATCAAATAAAAAGTGGTTGTAATATCAAATTTGAGCGGTAATGATTAATAATTGATATCCAAATCAACGGCTAAATTGGGGGATGAGAAATAACCAAGTGTCTCAGAAGCTTAAATATTACAGAATATATATTCTGAAAATTGGAACTTGCTCTGTCTTCAATATTCTCAATCTTATGTAAGACTTAATGTAGGATAAATATATTCCCAACCTGTCATTTAACTTATGACTACGTGGAAGATACTTGCTACAAAAGGATAGGATATGCTTTCGATTTTGATTTATTATTTATCTTTCACATGAACACTAACTTTATCAAATTATTATTAGTAAATTTTTTAAACTCAAGAAGGGTCAATTGACCCTCCATGACCCCCCTCCCTCTGTCATTGGTACTCTCTATAAATACAAGGGTGATAACTGATTCAAGGTTATAAGAGAATGTTAGAATATAGGGTATCTGAGAAAGGGTTATTAAACATCATGGGTAGAGTGTTTTAGAAATTGGGGTTGTTGCCGCCCTAGGTACAGTGTTGAGCCTGGTTAGAAACTATTATTATTTTTACTTGTATATTAATTATGTACCGGGTTTAAGGTATTATGTACTCTTGTATATCATGTTCATAAAACTATAATAGATTTTTCTCATCCGTGAATGTAAAAGGGTTATACCGAATCAAGTAAATATTATGTCTCTTTGTATGATATGATTTTAATCTTATGTTATTTATCTCGAATGTATTTTTTCCTTTGTATGATCTCCTAATATAATATACTTGAGATAAGAGACAAACAAAATAAATGATAATTTAAAGTATGTATACATTTACATTGCTACTTAATTATCTATTTTTAGTGCTACAAAGTAATCATTTTGTTTAATAAAAAAATGTAAAGACAAATTTTGAGTTCCTATTCAATTGGTCATCTATAAAGCTATTTTGTCCTAAGTGACGTATTATGTATAAATTAATAATTGGGAAAATCTTTACTTCATTATAAGAAAATAATGGAGAGTAAGTGGAGCCGTAAAGAACAACTAGGCATCATAACATATATAAAGCACAATGAATGAAGCATCGATATTATTCTTTTTAAAAATCTTAACCTAAAAGATAACCAAAATTCTGGTTCTGATCGTGCTTTAAGAGTAAGCTAAATTGGGGTCCATCCACGCATTAAAAAGCAAATTGTTCAACCCTTTTGAAATTACCAAATTGACTATCTACCTACTATTCTTTTCTTGCCTTGGGCATTGCATTCTGAATTTGATGCTTCTCTTTTGCTAACAAGTTTTCTCCGGGGGATTGAATCAACGCTATTTAGAGACCCCAATTGACAATGTTTGAGGGCATTTTTTTTTTTTTTTTTTAATGATCGGAGATGTTCGGATCAGTTTACGCATACCTCAACTAATCTCTCGGGATCTTGAAATTATCGATCGGGTAAAAACTCCAATGGTCACCCCTATTATCAATTAAGGAGAGACTCGAACTCAGAACCTCTTGAATAATATATCCAAGAGTCTCTATCGAACCACTGAATCACCTAAGGGTTGGTTTAAGGGGATCTTCATATTTTGAAATTTTGATAATTTCATTCTCAGTTTATGCATTACCTTTTGAGGAGAGCTAAAATATGATTCAAATTTTTGAGTTGTATCTAATATATTTAACATTTGAAAATATGTTTAATATAACATTAAAAAACTATTTTCAGATAAAAACTATGAAAACGAATTTTAATCATTTTTTGATTTTATATTAGTTTTTAGGACTGATATTGTATCCGAAACTTGTTTTTGGAAACATTTTAACTATTTTTAAGCATTTAAATTCTATATCAAATGGATCCTAAAAAATTTAAAATAATAATAATAATAATAATAATAATAATAAATGCTTAGAATGAAATTATCAAAATTTAATTGGTGATTGAAAGTTTCTTAATGACTAAGATGAATGTGTAATTTAGTCATTGTGCAGGCATCAACAATATATTAATAAAGCTTTTGGATACCCTGATACAGAGAAAAGCAACTAGCGAGAGCAAAAGGAGGATAAACATTTTGAAAATTTGAAGCTTTCAGGAACTAAAATAAAGATAAAAATTAAAGCATGAAATGTCACCCCATTAAAGCACAAAAGCTGAAGAAGACACACCATAACACGAAAAGAAGCCACCAGAAAAGAAAGAACAACAAGAGAGATACATATATATATATAGAAATAGCTAGAGATATGTAAACAACTTCAAATTATGCACTAGTTTCTACTACTACTACTACAACAAACTCAATATGTATCGATTTAGCAACACGGTTATCGGTTTCTTGAATCTTTTCACACTCTTAGCTTCGATTCCGATCATCGGCGGCGGCCTATGGATGGCGAGGAGCAGCACGACCTGTGAAGGTTTCCTTCAAACTCCACTTCTAGTTGTAGGTTTCGTTGTTCTTGTGATTTCTCTAGCTGGTTTCATTGGTGCATGTTTTCATGTTGCATGGGCGCTTTGGGTTTATTTAGTGGTCATGTTATTTCTTATCGCCACCTTAATGGGTTTGACCATTTTCGGATTTGTGGTCACGAGCCAAGGCGGCGGAGTTCAAGTTCCCGGCAGGGTTTACAAAGAGTATCACCTTCAAGATTATTCTCCATGGTTAAGAAAAAGGATCAAAGATCCTGATTATTGGAGAGCTATTAGAAGTTGCATATTGGGTTCAAAAACTTGCGCCAAACTTGCGTTTTGGACTCCTCTTGATTATCTTGAAAAAGACATGTCTCCTATACAGGTAATCGTAAATTTTTTAAATTTGAAGTTACTGATTTTAATTAATTTAAGATTTCTTGATGGATTTGAAGTTAACAAATATGATTTCTCAACCATTAAGGGCCCAGAGGGGGCACATGCCCCCAACCGACCCTAAATTCCATCACTATTCCACCTCATAAACTGTGTCCCTGTCCCATCCCGACGTGTCAAACCGTGTCGGTAACTTGTGGTATTAAGTTCATTTTATGAAATTAGCGATGGTTTTTGTGCAGTCTGGTTGTTGCAAGCCGCCGACTTCATGCACGTATAATACGGCAACAATGGTGGCTCAAGATCCGGATTGTTACCAGTGGAACAATGCTCCGACGATGCTGTGCTACGAGTGTGATTCGTGTAAAGCTGGAGTGCTTGAGGATGTGAGAAGGGATTGGCGGAAGCTCTCAGTTCTTAACATTGTGATGCTAGTGTTTTTGATTGGGATTTATTCAATTGGATGTTGTGCTTTTCAAAATACAAGAAGGGCGGAAACGGATTACCCGTATGGAGAAAACCGGATGACCAAAGTCCGACCCAGATGGGACTACTATTGGTAAGTCCAATACACCTCATCCTTTTATGATTTTACGCTCATTTTTAGGATTTTACGTTCCTACAAAACACTTTTTGGTATGATTTTTTTGTATTCCTTATTTTCAAAAACAAAAACTGTTTTTAATATCAACTAGCCTTTTATTAAAATCAGCTCATTGTAACAGCTAACAGAGAGCTTGATTGAATATAGAAGACTAAACTTATGAATTGGAGATTGAAAATGGTGGGCTTGGAATATAATATCTTTTTTTATTCAAACAAAAAGCCAACCAAATAAATTTTATAATTTATTCTAAAATATTACCAAAAAACAGTAAAAGTGGAGGATTCTTTTCTATCAACAAAATAGAAGAAAAAAAATCTCTTCATAGTCTTGGTAATGGTGAAATTGATCTAAGAATATGACTTTATTACAGGTGGAGGTGGTGGAGAGACAGAAGAGAAGCACTTTATTAAGCAAAAGAGTGAAAGGAAAATGTTGAGAGAAGAGAAAATTTCTGAAAGAGTGGTAGTGATTTGGTGGTATAAAGATGGGACAAATGAGATGTTAAATTTACAGAAGATTTGAAGGTAGCTGATTTCTCTTTTTACAGTATTAATTGACGGGTTTATGCTTTTGTGTACAAAAAGATAGCATGGATCACCATACCTACCTGTATCTTTCTTCTTTCACTTTACACTTGCTTTCTGACATTAATAGAGGTTTTTATTTATATAAAGCTATTTCAAGTTTATCATGTTGGCTACACAACATGTGCTTCATTCTCAGCTAGCTTTAATATTTGTTTAGTATTTAACTATTTAAATATTTTTGTAATTGAATTGTTTATTTTCAAAAGAAAGATTTGAGAAATTAGGTGGGCTTTAAATGATTATACATATTCAAATTAGTTCTTTTTTTTTTTTAATAAAACTAACATCAGGATTGAAAATTACCAAAAAAAAACCCTTTGTAAACTATCACCAAACCACCTAGAAAAAAAATATATAAAAAACTCTTTACAAATATTAAAAACCCTCTAAGCAGCGAAACTTTTATTTAATGCAACTATCTTTGGGCGGTCGAATGGTTCGATATGAATTCTTAGGTGTATTATTCAAGAGATCCTGAGTTCAAGTCCCTCCTTGATTGCTAATAGGGATAGTCATTGGAGCTCCTATTTGGCTAGTAGTTTCAGGATCCTAGAGATTAGTTGAGGTGCGCGTAAACTGATCTAAACACCCTGGATCATAAATTAAAAAAAAAAACTTTATTTAATGCTTTGTAAAATTTTCTTTTATTTATCCAAAAGAAAATTTTAAAAAATAATGGAAAATAAGGTCAAGGTCAGCTTTGGGTAGGGTCAAATAAAGCTGTACCTAAAACCAGCCAGGATTGGTCCCCCTTCGGACCAAAGGCAAGTCTTCTTATAAAGGTTTGCCTCAACGACCATTTTAGTCTTGTAAAATTTCTTAGTAACATTTTGGTCTCCGTGGCATCAATCCATAATGACAATTTAGTCCTCGAGGTTTGCCAATGACAGCGACCCAAAAACGTCACCAACAAACTAAAACGTTATTAATAATTTGTACAAGACTAAAGGGTGTTTTAAGGGTTTAAGTCAAATCTCAGAGACGAACTTGTTATTTTCCCTCTTATAAGAAGGAAGTAACCGCACGTTATGGGCACATATAAAGTAAGCACAAAAAAAGTCTTCGTTTTGTGGAATTCTTAAAGGCCCCAAACTTCTTCTTTACGCTGTTGTAGTTGATCCAAGTCATAGTAGCCAGTTTCATTAATATTTAATTAGTATTTTATTAATCATTGGATTAATAATTGAATAAAAATAATTTAAGAATACTAATCTCAGCTGACGTGCTTAGTTCGGTAGCTTAATTATTTCCTATCAGGGCATGGGGAAAGACTTTGGCAATATAATAAGTTGAATATAAAATGAACACAGATATCTAAAATATTCTTCGTATAAAAATATATATAAAAAAAATTCTTTCTTAAATTCTTTTCCTATTTTATTATTTTTTGGATAATGTATTTTAATTTATGCGCAGGGAAATATACAACTAAAAACCCTCTAAAAAAATTTAAATTATTAAAATATTGAACTGTAATTTCTCTACAAATTCTTGAGAAGCATTTTGTCAAACTTACGGAAAAATAAAAAAAAAAATCTTCAAGACACCTTTTAACACTATTTTTATAATATATATATAGTATTGTTTTAATGAATTAATTAATATCCACGATCCATAACAATTTAAAAAATCAAAATCGTTGTGGAGAACATACATGTTGTGTGGTCAACCTTTGAGCACGGATTCATGTCACGTATCATTCTATCTCAGAATATTTACAAGTTTACTATTGTAATAATATATAAACTAACTTTTTACTTAAATTAGGGAATATTCTTTTGACGCCTCATCCATTCTTCATGGAAGTCACAATTGTACACAGAAAAACGGAGAAAACACTATAAAAATAGTTGACATAAGATTTGTGCTTAACATCCAAATCACTTTAAAAATACTTTGTTGTGTGTGTTTTTGGATTCATTCATTGATCCCACATCAGATAACAGATTTCATACAATTCTTAACGTAAGTTTCATCAGGATTTTACGTGTTTCTTGTTGGTGCAATTCACAGGATAAAAAATATACAAATAGCATATATGAGATTGAGACCGTTGAATAATTAAAAAAAAAAATTATTGGACTATTAGTAAAATCTCTATAAGATCACATGAGACCGAAGGCTTCTAGAGAAGATAATAAAATCCCTAATTTGAAATTTCTGTGTTATTAAATTGAAAAAGAAAATAGACAAATTTTAAATAATAAAAAAATATTTATGAGACTTGTTGACTTGACTTGACTAGCTACATGAAAAGAGCCTATTATTATGTTAAATAAATCTATATTGTCCACTATTTTATTTTTGAGAGCACAAAAGGTCGAGAGGATTTTCAGATTTAATTGGATTATCAAATCGAGTGACGAGTTTAGTCTTCTATAAATTTATAATCGGCCTGCAAGCTCTAGTCACAATCTTCACATATTTATCGGTTGTTGATTAATCATTCTGTTTAATAGTTAATCTTAAATTTAACATTACTAATTATAGTTGTTTTGATATGAAGAGGAGTGGTTAGTTACTTAATTCTAATATTACGGTGGTGGGATCCCTAAATTAAGAAAAAACAAGAGCAAGGTTCAGAAATTCAGAGTTCCTGTTAATTAGGACTTGTAAATTATAAATAGAATTAATACATTAATCCTCTCAGGTTTTATTGAATAACAAAAAAGCACATTAAGGTTCTTAAAATAATAGAAGCACTTCGTTTGTTAAGTTTTTTTATTTTTATTTTTTTAATGATCAAGAGTGTTTGGATCAGTTCGCAGATATCTCAACTAATCTCTGAGACCCTAGAACAATCAATCGGATAAGAGCTTTAGTGGCTACCTTTATTAGAAGTCGTGACAATGTTAGATCCTCTTTTATTATTTTACTATCAAGTCACCCAATAATCATTTTTGTTTATTAGGTTTCGGTGATAAAATAAATATCAAGAAGACAAGTGTGTAAATATTTATAGACTTATAATAGTGTATGCACTAATGACCCATTAATGGTCACTAATGTTAGGGGTGGATTTGTGCTTACACCAAGCTTCACGGGGTTACGAATTTACAAACTAGTCAACATTATTGTGTTATGAATAGGCCTTGTCTCTTGTGATTATTGGAAGAGTAAACGACCAGTTCCCACCCAAGGTTTGACGAAATTTTAAGTTAGTATCACTGGTTTCATTTATTCCAGATTCCCATCCTTAAAGTGACAAAAAAACGTTTGACTTAACGGTAAAGAGGTAAATTGGTCATTTTACATAGGCGGCGCACGTTAGCAGATCACAGCCTCTAACAGTCATCCGACGCACATTAACAGCCGTCGTTCCTGACGTTTTTCTCTATTTTCTGACGATTCTTTCACCCAAAATCACCTTTGTCACCACCATTTGAACCCCCATCCTCCCCTCTACAAAACCATACCATTCACAATCCCTCATCACTTGTCGATCTCCGGCCACAATAATGAAAAACGACCGATGAACACGAACTCTCAGTCAACGAATGACGACGAAATGGTTGCTGGGGACATTGGGGTTTTATAGATTTGGGGACGGTGGTTGCATTGGTGGTGTCCAATTGGATTTTCACCACCGGAATTGACCAGAATCCGGTGAAGAACACCGAAACCCTAAGCCTAACGGTGCAGACTATTGGAGGGGCAAATGAGTCTGGAACCAGAGGGGTTTTGGACGACGGACTATGGGGAAGGTGATGGAGGTGACCAAGGGGTTCGACGTCATCGGAAACAACCTAGATCAGGCTGTTTCCAGCTAGGGTGTATAGTGATCGAGGGTATTTTTGATATAATTTGAAAATAAAATGATAAGTTTTGTAATTCTACTAATTTAAGGGTTAAAACATAATTTATTAATTTAGGGTTAATAGCATTATAGTAATTGTACCCTCTAAACCCTAAAAATTCATAACACTGTTATTTTAAGAATAACAATTTAGAATAAATGGAATCAGTGGTACTACCTTGAAATTTCGTCTTACCTTGGGTGAGGATATGTCGTTTACTTTTAGGGGGCGTTTGGTTCAGGAATGTTAGATTACTGGGAATGTTGAATTACTGGAAAGATAGATTACCTTGAAAGATTACTGGGAATCTTTAGAAAAATATGTTTGGTTAGTTGGTGGGTATGTTATATTAATATGTTTGGTTATGGGGAATAAATTGGTGGGTATGCTATTTAAATTACTAAATTGTACCCCTTTTAAATATTAATATAAAATTATTTTTATTATTAATTTTTGAATAATTTCTTTTACCCCCAATATTTCAGATTTAGCTAAAACACCCCCGCTTATATAAAACTTTAATTTTTGACGAAATCACCCCCACCTCCTGCCGCCACCGCGAACCACCGCCGGATGTCCCCGTGAGTACGTCACCGTGACGAAGAGGCTCCGCTATGGCCGTTTTTGGCCATATTGATGGCCGAAAACGGCCATATCGGGCCAGATCTGGCCGGAAATGGCCAGATCTATTCTGGCCATTTCCGGCCAGATTTATTCTGGCCAGAATAGATCTGGTCGTAAACGGTCAGGTCCATGGCCGTTAACGGCCAGGTCTAGTCCAGACCTGGCCGATAATGGCCAGGGACCTGGCCGTTAACGGCCAGATCCCCCGATCTGGTCGGAAATGGCCAGAATAGATCTGGCCATTTTCGGCCAGATCTGGCCCGATATGGCCGTTTTCGACCATCAATATGGCCAAAAACGGCCATAGCGGAGCCTCCCGGAGCCTTCCACAGAATTTCCAGTGTTTTTAGGGACTCCGACAATTTTCCGGCGGTGGTCCGTGGTGGTTGACTCGCTGTCGGCGGTGGTGGCTGGGTGGCTGTGGTGGTGGTGGTGGTTTGGTGGCAGTGGTGGTCTGTAAATTATTTTAAATATAAGGACATTATTGTCCAAAATTTTAATTAAACAAGGGTAAAATTGAAATAGGATATTAATATAAATTTGTTTTAAAGTAGGGGTATTATTGTCCAAAATTTTTATTAATAAGGGATAAAATTGTAACAAAAAAAGATAACCCTGGTAATCTCAGAAAACCTAAGAAAATTGAGGTAATCAGATTACTTCTTATATTACCAATAGTAACCACTATTGGTATTTGAAGATTACTGG